CCCCCATCTATCTATCCCCACCCCCACCCCATCTATCTATCTATCCGTCCCCATACACCCCCTCTATCTATCTATCCCACCTCCAGCTTTCTCTGTCCCACACAGCCACCTGTCTCTCTCCCCTTGCTTTCTGGTACCAGGCTGCACAGGCCCATGGCTGTTTGGGGTCTAGGGGAGGGTTCCGGGGTGCAGGCAGGGGGCCATTGGGCCATAGGAGTGGATGGCCCCAAGAGGCGCAGCCCCGCTCCCCAGCGGAGGCTCAGCGTCCAGTGTCATTCCCAGCCCCAGGAGAATGGTTCAGTATCGGCCACTAGTGCTCCGCCCCCCTGATTGCGTTTAGGTTTAGGCCTTTTTACAGCTCGACCGTGGCAGGTGGGGCCTCTCGCTCTGGTGTCTGTGCCAGGCCAGAGCTGTGCTCTCAGCAGCCCCCCCAGGTAATCCCCTCCATCTCCCGCTGAGATGGCCCAGGGGATTATGGCTCAAATCCCATTCAGTGTAATCCCGCTGCTCTCCCACAGCCCGAGCTGGCCAGCCTGCTCCCCTCGCTCGAGTCGGCGTTACCCGCCCCTGGCAGAGCAATAGGGACATTGAGGCAAAGGACCCCAGACGCATGACTCCCAGCTCCCCTGCACTAACCACTAGATCCCAGTTCCCCTCTCAGAGCCAGGAAAATAACCTAGGAGTCCTGGCTCCCAGCCCCTTGCGCTAACCACTGCATGCCACTGCCCCCCGAGGCAGAAGGGAAACCAGGAGTCCTAAGGGAACCCTCGCTCCCTCTCAGCACTGATCCGTGTAGCCCCATCGCTGGCCCATCCTGTCCTGGCCCAGGAAGGACAGGTGATTCCGGTGCTGCAGGGCTGCCATCTATTGGGGGAAGGCCGGAATTGCTGTTCCATGCGCCCTTCAACATCTTTGCCATCCGTGTGCGGAATACATTTCATGTGCACTGAGGTGGGTGTGAGTGTGCACCACTACCAGAAACGCAAACCCAGCGGTGCGTGCTCTGCTAATCAGCGGGGCAGCCGCATGAGCGTATGGATTATGGGGAGCACTGGTGACAAGGACTCCCCTGTGCAGGGACCTCCCCCCAGGCTAGCTTATCTTCTCCAACTGCATCCTGCAAATTTGGAGACCCCCGCCCACCTTCCAGCCAGTCCAAATCCTCTTGCCTCCCTCGAACTAACTCGGAGCTGCTCTCCCAGCCTGGCTCAGGGCCAGGAGACGGAAAATCCACCACTTTCCTAAGAAATTTGTTCCATTCCCCAGGCCGGGGTCAGCCAATGAGGATATTAGTGACAGGCCCAAAGCTGACTGAGAAAGTAGCAAGGGGATCTCCTCAAACCAGGTACCATGATGGAGGATGAAATTCAAGGTGCATAAGAGCAATGCTGGAAAAAATGGTTGGTGGGGGAGTCGAAATTCACCACCGCCACTTGAGCATGTGATCCTGGCATCTCCGTGGGCCGGTTCTCAGGACGCCTCAATTCAATGCTCAGCAGCAGTAAAAAGAAAAAAAGGACTCCA